TGGCATGTGGTGCTGGGGGATCGAACCGCAGTCCCTGTGCTTTGCCAAGCTTGTTCTAAGTAGGTGCTTTAGGCCACTGAGCCATCTCTCCAACCCGAGGCCAATTTTGTGAGGCTTCTGGTAACTCTGTGAGGAACTCTTGGATCCAAGGCCTCCGTGAGGGGGCTGTGGCAGAGCTGGGTTGTCGCTAGGGCACTGGAATTGGAACAAAGCAAAGATACAGGGGCTCTCTTTGTGGCTATGAGAGCTGCTGTTAATAAGAGGGACCAGAAACTTCCCTGTCCATGAGGGCAATCTCTGCTGCTGCTCATCTGTACAGCTGCAGAGCCCAGAGGCCAGAGTCAGTGGGGAGGGGCTGGGGACAAGTCTCCCCATCATTCAGGTGAGGGGATAGGCTAGGTACCCAGGCTGTACTGGGCTGGGCATCCTGCCTAGTCTACCTGCTCACGGCCAGCAGTCACCTGGTGCCAGGGAAGAGGATTCATCCTGCTAGGTACCAAACTACACCTGGAAGTGGCCTTGATAATGGAGGAAAGGCTCTTTGGCCCCAGAGGCCTTGGCTGCATTGGAAAAAAGGAGCCCAAATTTCCTGCTTCCCTGGCCTTGCAGCCTTCAGGGATTGAGAATGGTACTCTTTTCCAACTGGGTGGTGTCTGCAAGTTATTTAGAGGGCTGAAATCATAGTCTTGCTTAGAGAGGCCTCATGCCCCACGGCCTTATCACAGGAAAATGGGTGTGTCAAGGCAGTCAGACAAGTGAAGAAGGTCAGGCCTACTGGCAAGCCACTCCCCTGCCTGCCAGGCAGGCCTGTGTACCCATGGAGTTGGCCAAGCCAGGCACAGCAGACCAACAGCCCAAGTTATAAAGCTATTTCTCAGAACACAGCAGGTCCAAGAGCAAGGCCCCAGAGGGGTGGTGAGGCAAAACCAGAAGCACTCGCCGCCTGTGTCTGGGAAGAGGGAAGATAGGGACAGCCAGGCTAGGCACTTGCTGTTGGGTCTACCCTGTGTATTAGGCTGCTCTCACCTCCACTGTGTGTGTGTGTGTGTGTGTGTGTGTGTGTGTGTCTACATGTGTGCTAGGGATTGAACTGAAGGCTTTCCTACTGACCTACATCCCTAGCCCTTCTTAACTACTTTGAGATAGTCTTGATAAGTTGGTAAATTGCCCAAGCTGGGCTCAAACCTACTATCTTCCTGCCTCTGTCTCCTAGGGTACTGGATTTAAAGATGTGGACCACTGCACCTGAGGCTCTTCTCTACTAAGGACTGCCCCATAGAGGAAGCACAGTCCTGTCACCATCGGCCTTCCCTGGAAGGTCCCTGTATTATGGGACACTGCCTTTGTCGCAGGTCTTAACAAAACGCAGAACATACCCGACCAAGGCCTTACACATTCGTGTTAGTGGCTTAGGTATCAAGTCTTGCTCTAAGCACCCTCCATTCACTAGCCCTACTATTCGCTCTCACGCATAAGGACACTGATACTCAAAGAAGTTAAGCAACTTGCCCAAGATCACACACCTTAGGGGACTGAGCCAGCCTCTGAATCCAGATCCTGATTATCCTACATATAGGTCCCTCGGTTCCCTCCGGCGGCTCCTCGGATTGGGGCTGCACGCAGCTGGGAGGCCGGTCCATTGCCTAAGGGCAGACCTTCGCAGTAAATGTGCAATGGTCGAACCAAGAGCCAAAATATGGGATGAAGTGTAGCTGCACACGTAGCCAGGGTTTCGACCTCCACACCCACATAATAGAAGCTCCGCACGAGTGTAGGACTGAAGGGTCTCGGGCCTTTCCGGGCCGCTATCCCTCCCACTCAAAGGCAAGGGAATGGGCGGAGCCCCTGCTGGCAAGCTAATAAAGACTCGGGGGCGGGATCTACGAGTGGAGGGCAGGGCCACCTGGTTAGTGGGCTAGCGGATGAGTACGGGGGCTACGCCAGCGAAACAAAGGACCAATGGAAATGCAGGAAAGGACAAGCGGGCCCGCCGAAAGGCGGAACCGATGAGAAAGAAACCAATGGTGACTAGAATACAGGGTTGGGGGCGTGGCTGTCGTGGGGCGGGGCCTGTGGGTGGCAGGCTAATGGCGGCTCGGGGGCGGGGCTGCGAAAGGGCGGGGGCGCCTAGGGGGCGGTGGCGGCGGTGGCGAACAAAGAGGCGGCAGTAGCCGGCGGCCGAGCGGAGCCGAGCGCAGCCGAGCCGGGCCGAGCCGGGCCGAGCCGGGCCGGGCTGGGCCCAGGAGCGCGCGGACGATGCGGCCGTCTAGGCGGGGGTCGGCGGGTCCCTGAACCCAGTGCCCGGGCAGCTAGGGAGCCCGCGCGGCTAAGCCACCGGCCACCATGGCCGGGGTCAGCTACGCGGCGCCCTGGTGGGTGAGCCTTTTGCATCGGCTGCCCCACTTCGACCTGCGCTGGGAGGCCACCAGCAGCCGGTTCCGGCCCGAGGACGCCGACTACCAGCAGGTGACGCGCGCCCCTGGCCACGGGGTCAGGCTCCGGGTCACGGCCCCCGCCCCTGGGGCCTAGAAACTCCCAACCCCCTTCCTTTTGGAAGGTCCCTCTGGGCCCCGGCCCCCTCTTTGAGGGTCCTCCAAATTCTGGCCTCGCCTCCCATGTTACCAGGTTGTCCGCTGGGTGAATAGAGCCGCCTTCCTCGGCTCCACGTTCCCCGTTTTCATCTTGGGCGGGGGCGGCCTGGCGCTATTCTTCAGCAGAGCCCCATACCCAGGGCCCCCAGAAAAGAGCCCAGGCCTGGGCACCCTGGGCGCAGGCAGGAGGGAATTCCTTGATCCCTCCTGCTCCTATTGGGGAATCCCGCCACAGGCTGTTGGTGGGTGAGTACCCTGGGTGGATGCCAATCCTCTGTGGCTGGTAATGACCCCTTGCTCTGTGGTCAGGCTGTGGGGTGTACATGCTGTCTTATGTGGCTGTGGGACACCAGCCTGGCAGAGCCCTATGTGAGGGAGGTGCAGCGAGGTGGGCCTCAGTCTGGAGACTGGAAGGGGCTGCGCTGGGGCAGATCTAGGGGTGATGGGGCCCTTGGCTGCCGTTTTTCTCTGTGGAGCCCTAGGCCTGGCCTCTTGCCAAATGTGGGCACCCCCTCCACTTATGACTGTTATCTGCGTATAGGGCAGGGGACAGGGCTAGGGGCTTTTGCTTCTTCTGTGGGGATCAGGACTCCAGACCAGGGTGAATGGTCATCCTGAGAGCACCCTAGAGTTTGTCTGGAGACTGGGTGGCGTGAGAACCCAGTGTTTGGGGGCGAGTCGCACCTCCCTGCTCAGCTGTGTTCTCCCAGCCTCCCTTACCCAGAAGAAAACCGGAAGTGGAGGCTGAGGGCGCCATGTGAGATTTACTGCCCTGCTCCCTTGCTTACCTGACCCCAGGTCCACCAGCTGGTGGTGTTTCTAATCAGATTAAAGAGGGGGTGAGGGATTGGCCCAGGCATGCCCACAGATGGCCTGGAGAGGTTTGGTGTGAAGGTCTGGCCAGGGAGCCCTTCGGAAGAGGGACGCACTTCTCTCAAGCTCCCAGAACAGTGGCTGTGAGGTGACTTTGTCACTCTCCTCCCTGGAGGAGTGCTGCAGAAGCAGTGTGGGCTTTGCTTGGAAAGTTCTCTGCCCCAAGGATTAGATCCCTTTGTCGGTTCTAAAAGGTCTGGAGGTTCCTAGGGCATCCCAGTGGCTGTTTTTTGGCCTTGGGGCATCCTAGCAGCTGTTTTCTGCAGCCACCTATTTGGGTGGCAACTGGGATTGAACTTGCTCCCCTCACTCTCCATTATGCCTGGATTCAGGCATGCAAGGCAAGGAGAGTGAGGGGCACTGATGCCTGCAGCCCACGGGGGCCCAGGATTCTGCCCCCTTCTCTGCCCTGCTCTGTGCTCTGCTGTGGGAGGGCTCTGACTCACTTCTCTCTGAGGAGCAGAATTAGCCACTGAATAATTCACAGTGTGGAAACCAGTCTGTCTCCATCCCCCGCTGCCTCTGCTCCTTGTGCAGGGCTGTGGATGTGCATCCTGCCCCTGCCCTTTGTGTGCTGGTTCTTTTAGGCAGGCTCTTAATCTCTCTGAGCTTTGCCACCTCTTGAAATCAGGGTTTCTATGCCTTCGTTGCAGGGTTGTGGCAGGTTCCTTCCTTCCTGGGTGGGTGAACAGTGGTTGGTTGTGGGCCCCATCCTGCTCTTCTGGTGAGGTGGTACTAGCTATGGGGGTGGCTGCTGTGTTTTGTCATGTAGTCACCCCTTATTCGTCCTGACCCGGGGTATCCTTTTAGCTGTCTGTACCCTGCTAGAAAGGGGGACTTCTGGAGAGAAGGTATGGCCAGAAGTTGGGTGTTGTGGCAAGAGCAGATCAGCCTCTGTCCTTTGCTGTTTCCTATCCCCGTGGCCCACTGGCAGGAACTCTGGTGAAGACCCCAAGAAGACCTCAGGTTCCCTGTGGGGCTTGTGTGAGGCTGCCTTTTCCACCCTCTTTCAGATAGCTGGGACATCTCTTTTATGCAGATTCTTTGAAAGTTGAGGCCCAGAGTGAAAGCCTGGTCCAGCCTCACCAGGGAACAAGGGGGAAGCCAGTGTCCCTGCCCCGCTGGAGCCAGTCAACCTGGGGTCCCATCACAGGGGACCAGAACTGTGGAATTAAGAACTGATGGGGCTATTTTGAGAGTACATGGGCTCTGCTGGAACTTAGGCCTTTGTCAGAGGAGGGGTGGGGGTGGTGCCCACCAACATTAAGATCTGTTTAAACTGAGGGTCTTGGGTCACCATATTTGCAAAGCCTTCATCCCAGGAAAATGATACCTTCAGATGCCTCTGAGTGCCTGTGATGTTTCTGAATGGATTCTATGTATATGATGCCATCTAGGGGAGGCAGAGGCTGGAAGGGGCTTCTAAGGTATGCTCTATGTAGCTTCCCAACTTGGGCTGCCCCCATGTGGTGCTGCCTGGGATCCTCTGGAGTTGAGCCATCCCCAGCTTCCGATACTGCCTCATTGGCTGCTGGGACTGCTGAGGTCTCTTGGGGTGGGTGGACACTGAATGGGAGGCATGGTGCTGAGGGAGGCCCAGAGGGGCAGGGACTAATACAGCCAGACAACCTGTCCTCTAGGTGAAAGTTTTGATTGTCTAGGAAGGGGATGTCCTGACTCTGTGCAGTCCCCAGGCCAGATAGGAGAGGCCTTACTTGGGCTGAATATGGGTGTTAGTTTACCATATGATTTTGGGTGGTCCACCCACTTCTCTAGGCCTCCAGTGTGGGACTGGGGTCCACTTCTTCATCTTCTGCTAGCCTTTGTGGCCCAGCATGACCTTGTGTCCTCGGGCAGAGATCAAGTTCAAGTTGGCTGCATCTGTTCTTTCTCCTTCTGCCTTGCTGTCTTTACCAGTTCAGAGCAGTTTGGAAGTTGAGAGGATAGTTGGGGCCAGTAGTAGGATATGAGGGGGGTTGTTAGTGGCCTGTCATGGAGGCTTCCCCCAAGGCCTCAGCCCAGAGGTCCAGGCCTGCCTGCCTCTTCACTGAGTCCTTGTTCATCCTTTGGCCTGCAGCAGTTCAGTAGTGTACCAGATTTCCTGACAGACCTTAGCACTTGCCTCAGGCCCTTCCAGCACGTGGCCTTGGCTCTTCGAGCTCAGATATTTCAGTCTGGACCCTAACAGTAAGATGGAGGTAGTGTGGCCAGAGCTAAAGAAGGTTACAAGCCACAGAATTAGCATATTCAATGTCCCTGAGGCAGAGAAGCCTGAGGCTTAGGAGAGCAAGGAGAAACCCTCAGGTCTTTATGGTCAGGGAAAGAGTGTCCCAGGAGGAGTGCTAGGTGTCCTGTGCTGGAGGTGTGTGAGCCCACACTGCTAGTGTCATGGTCCTTAGGACCAGTGGTGCCCTAACAGCTTGGAGCTAGCTCAAAAGCACAGCCCTCCATTTATGAGATCAGCTGCTCACCTTAGCCTCTGGGCAGGGCTGGCCTCTTCGTCATCTCCCCAGGACTCAGGAAATGAGCTTTGGTTAAAAAGGCGGTGTTATCAGTTTTATCACTCGTCTTCCGAGTTCACAGAGGCAGTGCACATTGACTGACCTGCTGGGCAAAGAACCGCACGAGACAAAGACTCCTCCAGCCGGATTGTGTCTCGCAGTGTTTGTACGGAGTGGAAGTCACTTGACATCAGAGTCGAGCTGTGTACTTTCATGTCACCTGCTTTATAAACATCATGTACCTTGGATGTGTCCATGGTCTTGCTTCTGGGTGCTGGCCCAGTGCCCCACAGTGCTGGAAATGATTCTGTGATTGCAAGTGATAGAAGTGTGCTGGACACACAGTGCCCTGGAAGCTGGGTGGAAGCTTCTAGAGTCAGCTCTGTGAGAGTTGGGGGTGCAGAGTGTAGGGGGCCTATTGCTGGGTCAGTTGCATCATGGCCAGTACTGTCCCAGGGAAAGATTCATTGGGCGGGCTTAGGTTGGTGTCAGCTTGTGGCCAGGGGCCATTCAGTCCACTTGCATGGAGGTTGGCTGCCACCTGGTATGGAGGGATGCCATGTTCTGCCTTCATGAATAAACCTGAGACTCCCAAGGTGCATGGCCAATGCTGTGCATGGAGATCTGTGGGAATCTCATCATTTCCTATCACAGGGGGGCGTGGGGTCCTGGACCTCTCAGGAAGTTGTGGGGATGAATCTTCAAGAAGGCTTCTGCTGAGTGTGTAGGGTGGGGTCATCCTTCCCCAGGGTGCTGACTCCTGGGGCCACTCCATTCTGTACCCACCTCTGGGCTGCCCTGGGCTTTCCAGGCCAGCTGCCTTGAGTCTTTCCTGGTACCTTCTTCCTTCCTGTCTGTGCCTGTGACACAGCCTTGTGCCCTGCAACCTGAAACACAAGACTTCTCCCCTGGCCACAGCCCTTGATCACATTCTGGGGGACCAGGTATTCTTTGGCTCAACCCACAGCTGCCTTGCCCCAGGGATTTATGCTGTTTTTTTGGACAGCAATTTTCTGGGGTAGCCACAGTAGCTCTCGGACTGGACACCAATGCCCCTGCATAGGCAGAGGTGGGGTCCCTGGCCCAGAGATGTGGGCCAGTACTCCTGCTCCAGCCCACCTCCTTCTCTCCCTGTGGACATTCCTGTAGAGGTTGGGACCATGCCTCTTCCCTATAGGCAGTTCTTGAAGAAGAGGAACTGATGTTGCAGCCTGCAGTTAGGGGTCAGAGACATGAGAAGTACCTGTGCAACTACCAAGGGCATGTGACAGCAGGTGGATAGGGGCTGTGGCAGCAGGACTCAGAAGGAGAGGTCTGCTTCTCCTGGGATCTCTAGGGAGTGGTCCTACTCCTGCCCAACCAAGGCACAGGTGGCCTTCAGGGGCTTCTTACAGCCTTGGGGAAAGCTGGGACCTGGGGGCTGGCATCTGCAGCCAATCTGACAAGGCTTTGATGGACATCCTGGGCCTTGTGTCACCTTGAGCTGGCAGGCCCTTGTGCT